GAAGCTGTGACATTCTCTGATGCCCAGAATAGAAGGGATAAGTTTTTCAGTGGAGACAAAATTAAGAAAAGTGCAGAAAATGACAATTCTGACCTATTTAAAGATCTTATTTGTGGGATGATGCTGGGAACAGCTGTAAAAAGGCTGAGACAGCCTGACATCTGCAGCATCCCCAAGCTCACCAGATGCCAACCCCTTCCCTGAAGACAAGGAGGATGATGTTCTCCAGCCCTGGAGAATGGTGATCATCACCATTGCCACCCTGTGAGAGACCAGAAATTCCCCAAACTCAGCACTTCTGTGAAACTGAGTCCAAGGGCTCCAGCTCAACAAGGTGCTCAAATCTGCCTTTCTTGTGCCCCAGCGACCGGGAGGGCACTGCAGAACTCCCTGTAACAGACCAACTGGCCCTGCCTGCCCAGTGGACCTGTCTCCACGTCCAGCACCGCAAACTCCAGAGCCACGGGGAGAACCAGGTAGTCTCTGTAGGCAGGAGCCTCCAGCTGAGCTAGGTGCTGCCGGGGCCCTAGAGAGCCTGGGGCCCCAGGAGCAGTGAGGAAGCTTCCTTTTCAGGCCAGACTGCCCAGGGGAGCCTTTCAGCGGCTTCGCTCAGAGTCTTTGATTTCTGCACCTGCCCCTGCGTTCATCCTCCCCTTCCTCGGAGGAGATTTTAGCCAGAGCAGTTTACACTGGTGCCCGTTTATGCTGCGATTGATGGCTGGAAATCTGAGCATGTTGTGGTATGTTTTCAGATTCTGGGTTGTTTCTGGGGAAAAAGACTAATTTGGAGAAAGGGGAAAGGCATCTAGATTCCAGACAGTAATCTAGATATTGGGACCATCCAGTGAGAAGCCTTGAGGGCAAGACTGAGACTTACAAGAACCCTTGTGGAAAGGGAAAATGATTTTATTTAATATAAATGGTAATTTCTCCTGTAACATTCAAGTAATTGAAAAATATTTTAAAATGTATAGATAAGTCTTAAACTCACACCAATTTAAATATTTTCCTTATGCCAAAACAAGACTTTTAAGTTCCTGGCTTCAGTGGAAGCCAAATCATGTGTAATGTTTTCAAAATTACTTCTTTATTCATCTCAGTTCAATTGAGTGAAAGCCATATTTGACAAACCTATGACCCAGTAACTACCTTAAGGAATTAATCTCAATTTCCAAAATCTTTTTATCTTCTCATTTCTTTTAACTAAGGATCTTATGTTAAGATTTAAAATTTGTACATAGTTTTTCATTGGAGAGTTTTATTAACTTTTTTAAAATGTCATTTCATATAGATAAGTTACTTTAAAATTCATAATCAAGATGTTTTTTATTTCAGCATAATGTAGGTTTGCACTTAATACACCGTTTCCTACCTAAGAAGCATCTCGTATGCCAAGTGTGCTGACTGCATGGTGACTTGATGCCCACTAAACGTCTCGGTGTGCTTGGCACAGTCATGTGATTATTTTATCTGCTAGTAAAATTTCAAAATGTGCAGATATGCTTTGTACAATACTAGAAAAGATTAACTGATTCTAATTTGCAGAGGTAGAATTTTTGTATTAAAAATTAGAGTTAAGCAAGGCACAGATCAGGCATAGTCATCTTTAGGGTAGACATGAAATAATGGCAAAACCTTTGTATACACCTGTCACAGTAACAACGCTCACAGCTGTTTAATGTGTCCCTGATGCTTTATATAATCTACTCATTTAAGATAATTTTGTAACTTGTTATATTAACATCATATAGAGTACATAACATGACATGGTATATTGAGTGGAGTACATTATTCCCATTATCCCTATTTTGTTTTTAATTGGAGAATAATTGCTGTACAATGTTGTGCTGGTTTCTGCTGTACAACAATTTAAATCAACTATAAATACACATATATCCACTCCCATACTCCTATTTTAAAGCTGAGAAAACTGTAGTATAGGACAGAAAAATCGACTGGACTAAATGATGCAGGAAATTGAGGTAGAACTAAAGAGATGCCCAGATAACAAATATACTGGTCACCTGAGAAGACAAGAGTAACCCACAAAAAATGTAGCAAGATTATCATTTTCAAACAGTTTAACTGGTGAAACTATTTTAAGCTTATCATTAATATTATTATCATTATTACATTTACACTTTTATTGATACCCCTGAGGACCAGCAGTATCCTACCATTGTGCAGGATGCTGGGTGGGATAAGAAATGGAGACTTGCTCCTGCTCTGGGGAGTCAATTCCTCCCTATTTAAAGGATTGTCAGTTAGAAGGTCCTGATGGAGGATATGTGTGGGGAAAGGGTGTTTAAAAGTAAAAAGCAAGGCCTTGATTTTGAAAAGTACAGACTATAGGAAATTCCTAAATAATAAAAGTTGAAATGAAAGTATAAAAGTAAATGAAATGTATAAATTGTTGGGATCTTTGTTGATCACTTTTTATAAATGAGCCCTGGCTTGTTACTGCAGGAACTTGGATATGCCTCAATAACAATATTTTCTGTACAGCACATTGACATTTGATTTTTAAAATCTTTCTTAGAAAATCATACTATTTGAAGACAGGCAACATACTAATTTCTAGTAATTAACCTTCTGTTCAAATCTCAGCCAAACATAGGTCCATGGTGCTGAATAAAAGATATGGTGGGTGTGCATGAGACAGTTCAGCATATTTCAAATGGTCAAATATCAATGTTTGGCTTAGCTTCTGGTTCAAAATGGCAGAATAGAAGGGCATGCACTCATCTCCTCCTGGAAGAGCACTGAAATAGCAACTAGCTGTTGAAAACCATCCCCAGGAGAACTCTGGAGCCCATATAAAAAAAGGTACCCCACATCTAAAGACAAAGAAGAAACTACAGTGAGACAAAGGAGGAGCTCAAGCACAATAAAAATAAATCCTATACCTGTCAGATGGGAAACCAACCAACTGGAAAACAATAATACCAAAAAAGTTCTCCCACTGTTGTGAAGGTTCTGAGCCTCATGTCATGCTTCCAAGCCTGCAGATCTGGGAATCTGACTCTGAAGGTCAGTGGGATTTAATTATAGGACTTCCAAAGCACTGTTGGAAAAAGACTCCATTCTCAAAGGGGACAAACAAAACTTGAATGCACCATGACCCACTGGAAAGGAGCAGTGGCCCCACAGGAGACCAAACCAGACTTTCCTGCTAAAGTTGGAGTCTCCTGTGGAGGTGGGTCAGCAGTGGCTTGCTGTGGGGGCTAGGGCACTAGCAGTAGAAATCCTGGAAGGTGCCTCTCAGCGTGAGTACCCTTGGAGGTTGCAGAAAATCAAAACTTCATTCATCAATAATGTTTCTTACTTTTATAGTACAAGAAGGGCAAAAATTGGCTTCTGAACTCTTTTTGGGTTTTGGTCTTTCAGTAGCAATACAGAGGCTCCAGGAGGTGACATTACCACCAAGTATGGACAAGGGACTTTATGGAAAAGAGAACTAGGATCCAACCCGGAACAGCCCAGGACTGGAGAGCAGAACCATACATTTCACAGCCCCTGCTGTTTTCTTCCTGCCTCTGCGTGTATTTGATTATCTGCATTGACATGAGATTTCTATTCTTTCACTATTATTCATGTTTGTATTAGATCAAAGCATTTTCTAGTAATCCTGCTTTCTCAAAGAGTTTCTTACGAACTCATAGGAATGCTTTTAGAAGTATGAAACCCAGAAATTGGAATGCTCTTCAGCATACAGCAAAGGAAAGTGCTCACATTGAAAGCACTATGGAACTAGCACCAAGGTGAAAAGAAAATACCTTTTCCAGGGGCCTAGCACACTTCCAGTGTCACCTTCCAGTCACTGCCTCAGGCCAGCTCTCCTGTCTCCTCCCTGAGGGCAGCCACTCTGTGATCCTCACAGTCCTGATGATTTCTGCCAGGAGCCCTTGATGCCTCTTGTGTGACATGGACTCATTGAATCCAGACAATAATTCTATGAAAACTACAGTTATTGTCCCCTTATTAAAGTGAGGAAACTGATCTGCAGAGCTGTTCTCCTGGGTTCCCAAATCCTACTACCCGCTTGTGCTGTTAACATATGGCTATTCCATCTCTGCTTCCTTTGTGGCATTCTCTTCCTTTTCAGACTGAGGTCATAGGACTCAGTTTTAAGTCCTTTTCTCCATTCTATACTCTCGTCCTATTTGATCAGTTCTTCTCTTATGCCTTACACTTAATGAAATTGCTTGTAAATTGCCATCTCCAACATCCAGTGGACATTTGCACTGAAATGTTTACTGATGAACTGTAGTAGTTAACTTTTTATATCCTGTCACATCTTGGTCCACATTCTACTGGCAGAATTCCAGTTTTCTCCCTTTCATTGTAGCATTCAAGCTGATAGTCATTTCTACTACTAATTATACAATTTTAAAAATAGTTAACATTTTATTATAAATTAACTCATTATTGTGTTTTAGGTTTCTTTCCATTAAAAAAATCAAAGTTACAAAAATGATTGGATTAATTATGTTCACGTCTAGGTCCTGAGAGCAACACACCACCTAGCTAGAGAAAGTATATTTTTACTTGTAATGTGCAAATCATAAAGATGGGTGAAGGAATTGTAAAATGCATTCTTTTAATCAAGTTGCATATTCAGTCTTGATGTTTCTTTTTTAAAGAAAAACAAAGGAAGTTTTTTAATAGTAAGGTTTAATGAATGAAGAAAACTCATAAATTGACTAAATACAAAATATACTTTTTTCCCTTAAGTATACATACATAATGAACAAAATAATTTAATTATTTATATATAGAGCAATAAATACTAAATTAGATAAATGTCCAAATAGATAAATAAGTAGATGGATCAGCTTGAGCATCTTCAATGGACTAGTGCCTTTAGAGTAGGCCATGATGTCGCTTAATATACCTGAAATCATTTGGTAAAATGATTCAATTCAGAACATGATGACAGCAGAAATGAGAGTCCTCCATGTGGCCGCACAGGAGGCAGTGTGGTCTTGTTGATCTGTGAGGATCATTCCCGTGTTGAACCAGGTGTCTGTCAGTCCTTCCTCCGGAATCTCTCCTGCAAGTGTGTTGAGGAAGCGAAGGCTCTCATGACTTCTGCTCTGACAACCTCCCAGGCACAAGGGCTGTGTCCCTTCTCTTGCAGATAGAGAGTGACTCCGTGGAAGTATTTCCTCAGAGCCAGGCTGGAGTCCCCCTTGAGCAGGGGAGCCCCTTGCAGCCGCTGCTCCTGCCTCAGACAGGCTTGCAGGTCAGTGAGCTGCTGATGCAGCGCAGTGCGGAGCTGGTCCAGGAGGCTCTGGTCCCACGCAGCGGCCGAGCCCTCGGTGCTGAGGAGCCGGAAGGTCTGCTGGGTCACCTCGTGGAGCACAGAGATGGCTTGAGCCTTCTGCAGCTGGCTGCCACCCAGCGCCTCCTGGGGGAATGCGAAGTCATTCCTGTCCTGCAGGCAGGAGGAAGGGGAGACCCTCCTCAGGTGTCGCAGGAGCGTCAGGACCCTCCTGTTGGCCAGGCTGTGGGTGTGAGGCAGGTGGCAGCCCAGAGAGCAGATGGCGTTGCAGCTGAGCAGCAGCAGGGCCAGGAGTAAGGACCAGGCTGGGGCCATCGGGGACCTTGCAGATGCTGCTGGCCTGGAGAGGTGGGTGACTCTGTGAACCTGCTCTCTAGGTTCCCTGAAGACCTTCCTTCAGGCCTGTGTCTTAAATAGGAGCCCAGAGCCCATGGTTTCCATTTTCTGAAAGTTCCCTCTTGTTTTCTACTTTTGTTTTTGCTTTTCAATTTGCACTCTCCAAATGTGTTAGGACAGTGTTTCGCAAATATTTTTTTCATTATTGCCTCCCCTTCCCCTATTGACAGAATCTTCTCAGATTTTTTTTGCTAATTACCCCCACGATGAAATTTTGACAACAGAGTTGTGCTGTGGATCCATCTTTGTACTCCATGCATATCTTCATATATATAGAAAAAGAAAGTGCAAAGCTTACTTGTTGTATTCACCCTAGGGTTAACAATGCCATAAAATGAAAGGTGTACATAAATGTAAAAGCTGTTGAATTTTATTTAACTTTATGAATGAGTTTGAAGAATGACTTTTATTTTATTTTTTCATTATTTATATTTAAAGTTTATTTTTCATGTTTTTTTTAAAGTTTTGTTTTTTTATGTAAGGAGAGCATCTTATAATTTCCACATTCTAACTGGTAATTACTGTTAAATAGAAAAGATATGATTTTGGCCTAGTTATTTTTTCATTTTTTAAAAACTTATGACCGAGTTTTCTTGTTTGATTAATCAAAAAATTTTCTGATTAATCAAACAAGAAAACTTACTACCTATTTCAGTTGATTTTTTTTTTGGCTTTTCAGATAGTTTCTTTTTTTTTTTATTAGTTGGAGGCTAATTACTTTACAATATTGTAGTGGTTTTTGTCATACATTGACATGAATCAGCCATGGATTTACATGTGTTCCCCATTCCAATCCCCCCTCCCACCTCCCTCTCCACCCGACCCCTCTGGGTCTTCTCAGTGCACCAGGTCCGAGCACTTGTCTCATGCATCCAACCTGGGCTGGTGATCTGTTTCACCCTAGATAATGAAGAATGACTTTTAATGGAGGATATTTACTTATATAAGTAGTAATGTACAAAATTACACATTCATATGAAATTCATATAAAATATATAATAATACCACAGTATAGATAGACTTAAAAATCTTTTAAAACTCAAAATCATTGAAAATCTTAGGTTATTTTCTTCATATTTACTTTGAAGTACTTTTCACTTTGTTTCACATAAGAAATCAATTTTTAATTCCCTGTCTGCTGAATATTCATCTCAATTTTATAACATTTCTCTCTGTTTAGCTCTTGACATACTTATGGATATTCTTAACAACTTTGACAGGAATAGATAATAAAATACCATGATACCAATCCAATGGAGGAAAGCGAAGAGGAACTAAAGAGCCTCTTGATGAGGGTGAAAAAGGAGACTGAAAAAGCTGGCATAACACTCAACATTTAAAAATCTAAGCTTCTGACATCTATGGCAAATAGATGGGGAAAGAGTGGAAACAGTGACAGATTTTCTTTTCTTGGTCTCCAAAATCACTGTGGACATTTACTGCAGCTACAAAATTAAAAGACACTCGCTCCTTGGAAGAAGAGGTATGACAGAACTAGACAGCATGTTAAAAAGCGTAAACATCACTTTGACAACAAAAGTCTGTATAGTCAAAGCTATGGTATTTCCAGTAATCTTATATGGATGTGAGAGTTGGACCATAAAGAAGGCTGAGTGCAGTAGAATCAATGCTTTTGAATTATGGTGCTGGAGAAGACTCATGAAAGTCCCTTGGACGTTAAGAAGATGAAACCAGTCAAGAAATCAACCCTGAATATCATTGTAAGGATTGACAATGAAGCTGAAGCTCCAATAAGTAAGTAAATGTTAGTTGCTCAGTAGTGTCTGATCTTTGTGACCCCATGGACTGTAGCCGGCCAGTTGCTCTTCTGTCCATGGAATTCTCTAGGCAAGAATACTGGAGTAGGTTGCCATTCCCTTTTCCAGTGATCTTCCTGACCCAGGGATCAAACCCAAGTCTCCCGCACTTGCACGTACATTCTTTATCATCTGAGCTATCAGGGAAGCCCTGCACTTTGGCTATCTTATGTACAGAGCCAACTCACTGGAAAAGATCCTGATGCTGGGGAAAATTAAGGGCAGGAGGAGAAGGGGGCAACAGAGGAAATGGTTGGATGGCATTACCAACTCAGTGGATATGAATTTGAGCAAACTCCAGGAGATAGTGAAGGACAGGGAATCCTGGCGTGCTGCTGTCCATGGGGTCGTGAAGAGTCAGACAGGATTGAGCACAGGATTTAGCAACTCAAAAATAGCAATAAAATATCCTTCCCTTGATCCCTGGAAAGTGCACTTCTCTAGGCAGCTGTAGGAGGACCAAAGAACTTTTTTTCTCGGGTTCCTTTGGGATGCCCACTTTGGAGAGTTTGCAGTTCTGGGCTCTGCAGACCATCAGGGCACAGCAACCTCAGTGACTCTTTTGATACTGATTTACTATTGGGGGGAAAAACTTTTTGTTTTCACAGTGCTTAGGGCTGAAGAGGGAGCCTTGTAGCCCTACCAGCAACAGTGTTCTCTGGTTGGGAGCTCGGAACCTTGCATTTTCTAAGCCTTCCCTAGAGTTTTGTGCTTTATTTTCCAGGAAGGATTCTATTTACTGAGGGGCTTCAGGTGGGGAGTCAGCGAGTTGGGGTCGACTTTACAGATTCGGGTCCCTTCTGGTGCCATCCAGCAACAGTTCAGAGACAGGGAGCCTGGTGGTGGTGATGGGACCTCTGGAAGGTGTCCAGGATGTCCTGGGGTGAGTCAGAGCATGGCCACCACCGGGGCCAAGGACCGGGGAGCTGTAATTTCCTGCTTTAAGAATATTTATCCCTGTGCAGAATAAATTAAAAAAAAATATTTCCTGGCCTATTCATGGATAACAAGAAAAAAAATAATTTAGAACATGAAACCAACAGATTTCTTCTTGAACAAGTTGGCAGGAAAACTCAGGAATTAAATGGGAAATATTTTAATTCTCAAGATACTGAAATTTACTGACTTTCACCAAAATATGAAGTTAAGCAAGTTGGTTAATTTCACTGCCCCCTCTCTGACTGGTTACTGATTAAAGGAATGGTTGATGCAAATATTTGGGTCAAGCCATGGATAGGGAACAACTGGCTAAACTGTTACATGATTTTTAAAATATCCAATTGTTTTTCAAAATATATTAAAATAAAATTATTTTAGATATATTTTCCCATTATCCTTTGGGAAAAACCAGAAGGCAGAGCATTCTTCCCTGTTGCCTCATTTTTCTTGCTGTTTCCTTTCTTTCATCAGTACTCTTAATGTCCTTTAGAAGTCCTTTAGATGGGCCGTCATTCCTCTCTTTGATTCAGACTCTATGGTTTTTACTTGTGAGTGCAGATTATCAGTTTTCTTTCTGAAGAAGAGGATTGAGAATAATTACACATGACTATTTCTTCTCTGTCATGTATGCTTTGAACATGAAATATTTACATACAACCTCAGCTAGGACCGCAGGAGCTAAATGTGCCATGCCCTGTGTCTTAGTGCAGGCTGCTCTGATAAGGTCCCAGAGACTGGGTGGCTCATGGGTAACAGAAGTTTATTTGTCACAGTCCTGGGGACTGCAAGTGTGAGATCAGGGTGTCAGCAGCGTGGAGTTCTGGTGAGAACCCTCTTCTGGGTTGCAGACTGCCAGCGTCTCTAGATGTCCTCACATGGTGGAGAGCAGAGAGGAAGCAAAGTGTCTTGTGAGCCTCATGAAGACAGTAATCCTGTGCATGGGGAATCTCCCCTCATAACCTCCTCTAACCCTAATGATTTCTCTAATATCCCACCTCCTGATATGATCACATGGTGGGGGTAGATTTCAATATATGAATTTTGGGAACACACACACATTCAACCTGTAACATGGTAATAAGAAGATACTGGGCATTGTGTTTATTGCAGATCCATTAGAATATATTTCATTCTTGATATTTATCTGAGGATAACACATTCCTTGATGCTATCATCCCTCATTATGGCTCATTCATCCTGATTTGATTACTAATTTAATGTTACAGTGCTACTGTGAACATGATTACTAAGAACTTGCCAAATTCCAGACTTTCAGTCTTTATAAAAAATGATGTTGACAGCAACTACAAATTCCTTAACCCTTAAAAAGGACACTTAATCCTTCCAACGTAGTTGAACCTGAGTTGTAAATATTCTCATTTCCAGGAGCCACCTGCTAAGACTTTATTTGAATAAAACAATCTAATAAGAAAAGTCCAGGTTTCAAAACCATTATGTCAAATTCCAAACTCCACCTCCCTATCCATACCATAAACACCTGTGCAAATTGTATGTATTGAACCATTGCTTATTTTCCTATTTCACTAACACATGTTATGCCTTTGTTTCCATACCTTGCTGTTACAGTACTCTATATTTTCATTATTTTATCGTCTACGTCCAAATTTCTAGATGAATTGAGCAATTTACAAATTATCCTGATTATTTTATGTAACAAGCAAACTGAAATTATCAACTGGGAATTCTTTCTGAGAGTCTAAATGTGATGGACAAAATTAATAATTCTAATAATTATAAAATAATCATATTTAACTGTCCAGGATGATTCATATAGATTGCTCAATTAACCATCACCATAAATTTGAGATGCATGATAGAAGACCCTTGAGAATTATAGCCACTATAAGAGATTGGATTACAAACATTTCAGTGAGTCTCTGTAGAAAACAGGCTTCCCTGGTGGGAAAGAATCTTTCAGTGGATAAAAGAATCCACCTGTCCATGCAGGAGAGGTGTGTTAGATCCCTGGATTGGGAAGATCCTCTGGAGGAGGAAACGGCAACACACTCCAGTATTCTTGTCTGGGAAATCCCATGGACGGAGAAGCCTGGCAGGCTTCCATGGTGTCACAAAGAGTCGAAGGAGACTTAGCAGCTAAACAATGAGAACAACTGTAGAAAACACCAAGCTGACAGGGCTCTTGTGGATTTAGGTTAAAAATACTTAATGCTACCAAATTACATGAATATGGGAAATGATTGGAAGAATAGAAGACCACCTATGCTGGCCGGTGAAACGTTAGGGATGGAGCAGAGCATCCCCGCTGCCATCAGCAGGGAGACCAGAGTTTCAGAAATTCAGCACTTCACCTGGGTCTCAGTGAAACAGCTCAGGTCTTGCACTAAGCTAAGTCCTCCAAGCTCCCTTCGCTGCGCCCCAGCGGCCGGGATGAGCACCTGAACTCTCAGTAATGGATCGGACGCGCCTCCAGGTCCAGCGCCGCGAACTCCCGCGCAGGATCCAGGGGAGAACTGAGGAGTCCCGGTCGACTAGAGCCTTGAACCCTGCGAGGCGCTGCAGTAGCCCAAGGAGCCCGTGTGGCCGTGGGAGCAGTGAGGAAACTTCCTTTTGGGTCCCACTGCCCAGGGGAGCTTTGCCACTACTTCGCTGAGATCCTTAGATTTCTGCACCTGCCCCGTGTCCACCCTCCCCTTCCTAGGAGGAGATTTTGGCCAGAGAGGTTTATCCCGGTGCCCGTTTATGCTGCGACTGATGGCTGGAAATCAGAACATGTTGTGAAGTGTTTTCAAATTCAGGATTGTTTCTGGGGAGAAAGACTTATTCTTTTAGGGATTCAGGGGAGGGAAAAAAGGGAAAGCCACCTGAAGTCTGGACCGGAATCTACTAGGTATTGGGACCCTCCAGTGGGAAGACTTGGGAACAAGACTAAGACATAAAAGGAAAACTATTTCATTTAATATTAGTATAAGTGGTTAATTTCTCTTACAATATTAATTGGTTAAAAAATATTTCAAAATTTATAGTGAAAGTTGTTCAGTCATGTCTGACTGTTTGTGACCCCATGGATTTATACAGTCCATGGAATTCTCCAGGCCAGAATACTGGAGTGGGTAGGCATTCCCTTCTCCAGGAGATCTTCCCAACCCAGGGATTGAACCCAGGTCTCCCACATTGCAGGCAGATTCTTTACCAGATGAGCCATAAGGAAGACCAAGAATACTGGAGTGGGTAGCCTATTCCTTCTCCAAGGGATCTTCCTGACCCAGTCATCGAACTAGGGACCCCTGCATTGCAGGTGGATTCTTATAATTTGTAAGTAATTATAAATAACTTAAAATTTAAGTCTTAAATATCAAGTTAAGATATTTTCTTTATGACCAAACAAAACTTTAGTTTAAGTTCTTGGCTTCAGTGTAAACAAAATCATCAGTAATGTTTTCAAAATTGCTACTTTGTATATATCTCTCCTCACTGATGGAATGCCATATTTGATAAATTATGACCCAGTAACTATCTTAAATAATTAATTCCAGTTTACAAAATCCCTTTTTCTCTCCTTTCTTTCAAACAAGGGTCTTCCCTAGTGGCTCAGACAGTTCAGAATCTGCCTGAAATGCAGATTCCAGATTCCATCCTTGGTTGGGGAAGACCCCCTGGTGAAGGAAATAGCAACAAACTCCAGTAGTCCTGCCTGGAGAATCCCATGGACAGAGGAGCCTGGTGGGCTATAGTCTATGGGGTCACAAAAGAGTCGGACTTTACTTAGCAACTAAACAAAAAACAGTAAAAAATTCAAGAAGTTCACCTTGATAATATTTAATAAATAAAACAAATTACAAATTTAATGAAATAAAAATGTGAATATATTTGCTAAATTTTAATGCTATGTAAACAAAAATATTTTTATGAAAAAATAAATATGAGGAGATAAAAGAATAAATATAACAAAATAAATAAGCAAACAATAACATCAGGGCAGTCTTCACTTCGGGACTGATGCACCTGCTGCCAAAAAAAATGTATATATATTCATTTACTACTGACAAAGTATTGGCTGAAGTAATTCAATAAATTTGGTGGCTAAAACAGAAATCAGAGTCTTCTGAAATAACCACAGATGAGTGTGCAAAGATGATGGGGCATCTTAGTCAGTGAGAGTCATCTCAAGGTGAGTTCTGGTCTCCATCTATCATTCTTAACTTTTCTTGCAAGCTGGTTGATGAAGACAAGGATCTCATTATCTCCACTCTGACAATTTCCCAGGCGCAGTCGCTGTATCCCTTCTCTTGCAGGTAGACATGGATTCCCTGGAAGTACCTCCTCACGGCCAGCGTGGGGCCCGTCCTTCCCAGGGCAGAGTCTTCCTCTCCCATCACCTGCCCCAGGCAGGCGTCCAGGTGGTCCAGCTGCTGGTGGAGTCCAGTGCGGAGCTGCTCCAGGAGGCTGGTGTCCCAGGCAGCAGAGGCGCGCTCTGTGTGGAAGAGGGTGACGCTCTGCTGGAGCAAAGGGCCATCAGTAGAGAGAGCATGAAGGCCATGGGGAAGATGAGGCTGCTGCTGCTGGCCTGACTGCGATGGTGTCTGGTGGAACCTTGAGGTAGGTTCTCTGATGCCATGCTTTCTAAGCAAGGCCATTAAATAGGGAACACAGTAGTTTTCATTTTCTAGTCATTTCTCTACATTTTTACTTCCTTTTTTGACTTTCATTTTTGTATTCTGAATATGGTCAAAGAAACTGTCATCAATCTAAACTATTAATTTTATCTATTTCTCAATAACTTCAAATGTACCCATCCAAACAGATATTTATCAATCAAATGAGAGAGGTTTTTGTCTTACATCAGAAATGATGTAGGTTTCTAAGTACAAACATTATCACTCTTTCTCTTACATATGTAAATGTAGCTCTTTTCTGTTCCATTAACAAATTTTTGGCCCTGATCTTAGGCTCAATTTCTGTTTCTTACTTTACTTAGGAAGGCAGGCTCTGTATTTATCAGGGATTTACCAGGTCAGTCTAGCAAATAAACTGTTTGAAACAAAAGCTGGGTTTTCTTTAGTGCTTGATTTAGAGAAGAGGCTGATTATTATGAGTCCATGAGCTCCTCCCATGTTTCTCTTCCTTCCAGAACACGTTCCTCCGGGTTCATGTGTTTGTGCTTCAGGGAACCACGAAGTCAGGACTATTACAGACATCATGCTTTCTTTCCACCATTTTCATACTGGAGACCTATTGTCCTTTGCTGGCTTGGCCATTACTCCTACCAGGAATTTTGGTTCTTCTCAGATAATATGGGTGGGGAGACTCTAATTCCAGGATAATTGTATTTCCCCAGCAGCACCTCACTCACAAGGGAGAGATCACATGGAGCCACAGCCTGTCCTCTAGAGTGACTGAGTCCCCTTGCTCACCTGCTGGACTCCCTCCCTGAGGGCAGGCTCACCACATTCTGAGGACTCAAAGATCTGCTTTCTGTGGAGGGCTTGTTTATTTGTTGGGAAAATAAATCGTCTTCCTAAACCATCAACTTTCACCTGCAGTGTTTGTGTGAAGGACCCTAGTTCTCAGTGGTGACCTCCTCTTCTCTGACCCATTTCCCTAGGTATCCAAAGTGTCAGCAAAGCTCAGATGCTGAGAGCAAAAGTGCATTTGTGCAAGTTGGTGGAAGAATTTCCAACTGCAATTATCTTGCTTTTAGTAAAACAATATTTACTCTGCCAAGTATAGTTTTTATTATTCAGCTCTTTTACTTAAACTGTTCGACACTTGTTCTGCTCAAACTTTCTGAGCTGGAGGAAGGAGATTCAGTATCGGTGTTGTCTTTTATTGGAAGATTATGTCACAAAATCTAGTGAGTTACAGTTGTTTATTCAGGCAGTTGATTCCACCAGGCATCTCTGTTCCTCTGTCTCTGTTCCTCTGAGAATGCAGGGCAGTGAGACCCAGCTTACTAGATCAGGAGAAATAGTCTTCTTTCCTTGAGTGTAATTTTTCATTTAAACTTTTTATATTCACTTAGTGACTTATTTTGGGTAGGCTCCAGGAGTTGGTGATGGACAGGGAGGCCTGGTGTGCTGCAGTTCAGAGGGTTGCAAACAGTTGGCATGACTGAGTGACTGAACTGAACTGAACTGTGTGACTTATTGGACAAGATTTGTCTCATTGCTTCTGCTCTGGTTGTAATTCATGATGACATGAGAACAACACAGGGAAGTAAAGAAAGGCAGAGGGGCTGCATCTCTATCACTTTAAAGACATTAGATTTTTTTTGTTTCTCTTTGCAACTTTTCTAGAAAGTAAAATTGCACAGTTGTTTTGTGGGCAACAAGAAAACAAGGTTAAGTCTCAATGTCATGAATATGAAAGAAGGAAAGTGGTTTTCCCCTGACACAGTGACATATTCTGAGTTAGAAAACTTCAGTGCAGCACAGCTGGGGACAAGTCTGAGGCAGAGGGAAACTATGAGGCCAGTATGAACAACAGAAAGCCTGGGACATGACTGTTTCTTACAGAAGCTCAAAGAAGGACAAGTCCTGGATCTGACTGTCCTCAACTTTGTAAGACCAGCCACCTAATTTTTCTTTTCTTTAATCAATGTGTGGTTAGTATAAGTGGAGAAGGAAGAAGTCACACTCACCAGCTCACAAGAAACAGGCAATCAGAGCCCCAGTTGCTGGAACACTAATCCTATCTGGCAAGGTCGAGGAGACCAGCCTTGCTGAGCATCTGCTTAGATGATAAATCCACTTGGGCAAAGAGAATATGCTTTGAAATAACTAGAATGAAAGGGAATTAAATGATTCCAAAAGATCCTGATCTTAGTCTAGCTAACAGTAATTATGATATTAAAAATAATAACTGAATTTTATTGATAACCAACTCTAATGATCTCCCTAATATTCCATTTCTTGATACTATCACATTGATGGGTTGGGTTTCTGCTGGATTTTTAAGAATTTTAAAAATATTTATTTTATGTGTTTATTTGGCTATGGCATGTCTTAGTCAGTGTATGCTGGATCTTGGATCTTTGTTGCTTCATGCAGGATCTTTACTTGGGTCATAGGAAGCCTTGCTTGCCACATGCAGGATCTAGTTCCCTGACCAGAGATCCAACTCAGGCTCCCTTCTTTGGGAGCATGGAGTCCTGGCCACTGGACCATTAGGGAAGTCTCAAGGGGTAGGGTTTAAATATATGAATTTGGGGAACACACACACATTCAGTCTGTAACATGGTAGTAAGGATATGCCAAGGTATTGTGTTTATGGCAAGGATTCATTAGGATATATTTCATTCTTGATATTATTGAGGAGTAAGAACACATTCCCTGAGGCTGCCCTCACTGTTTATGACACATCCATCCTGAATTGATTACTAATTAAATGTAACAAGACCACTGTGGACATGATTACCAAGGACCTGCCAGACAAATTTCACAGACTATCAGTGGTTTATCAAAAATGACAGTGACAACAACTACAAATTCCTTAGCCTTTGTGAGGGACTCACTTAATCCTTTCATAGTTGAAACTGAGTTAGTAGTTCTATTTTGAAGAGCCTCCTGCTAAGACTTTATTTGAATAAATCTAATAATGAATGGCAAATCCAGTTTTAAAAACCTAATATGTCAGATTCCAAACTACTTGTCTAGACCATAATACCTGAGCACACTGCATGTACTGAGCTCTCACTTATTTTCCTATTTTACTTCTAACACAAGATGCACCTTTGTTGTTTCATACCTCAATGTTACAAATCTCTTATTTCCATTAGTTAACATCTACATCCAAATTCTAGATAAGCTGAGTGATTTACAATGTATCTGATTATTTTGTATAATAAGCAAAATGAACTTATCAACTGGTAGTTATTACTGAAAGTCTAAATGTGATTGACAAAATTAATAATTCTAATAATTATAAAATAATCATATTTAACTGTCCAAGATGATTCATATAGATTGTTCAATGAATCCTCACCATAAATTGGAGATACATGATGGACAAGATCCTTATGAGTTATGACCCCAGCAAGAGATTGGATTACAAACATTTCAGTGAATCCTCTGTAGAAAGCAACAAGCGGATGGCTCTTGTGAATATAAGTTAAAAAAAATACTTAATGCTTTTGAGAGGGTAACAGGCAGGAAGACCAGGGGTCTCCAAACAGAGGAAATAGGCTGCAAGTGTCAGACATTTTTTTATCTCTCTCTGAAGAGCCAGGAGGAAACAAACTAGTGTTATATTTTTCCCCCCTTCTCTATACAAATTTAAAAAGAGGTTTCTCTTCAAATTCTATATTGCCATAATGACACCTGGTTCCACCTGAACTTAACTTTTTCCAAACCTTGAGCTAACCAATGCATTTTTCTTATGGAAATGTTTGTCTTAAGCTATGTTAATGTACTATGTATTTACCCTAGACTCTATGTTCAAGTCAGTTCCACCTAAAGGCTTAGAACCAACTTGACAAACCAGTATGTTATACTCATATATTGTTCTCCTAATCTATGTTAATGAAACTATATATTTGTTTGGAAATCTCCCTTTCTTCAAGATTCGTGTCAATTGTTTTATGGCCTGGGATGACTCACCTGGTGCCAATGTTATCTCAATGCATCTTGTGGGTGAGGGGTCTGGTGCCATTCTCTAAGTTTTGAGACATTCCCTTTCTCTAATTAGCAGACTGCTGGTAGCTGTATAACATCTGGCTGAAGACTAGCAAGGGGGCACTCTTTCTGCCCCCTTCTGATGTCTGTGTCAGAAGGTTTCTCTATCTCTTTTATACTTTAATAAAACTTTATTACACAAAAGTTCTGAGCGATCAAGCCTCATCACTGGCCCTGGATTGAATTCTTCTCCTCTAGAGGCCAAGAATCCCAGCGTCTCTTGTGGTTCAACAGCAACCTTTCATCTTGGGGGCTCATCCAGGATTCTTCAGGACAAGGTAAGGATGCTTGGAGCTCTAATTCTTTGTTCTCCTAACAAACCTGTTTTTTTGCTGTACTTTACTAACTCTACAGTGCACTTGTGTGAATGAATGACACGCCCTGCACAAAGCAAGTGAGGAGCCCTGCTCTGCAGTTCCTTGGTGACCTCATGTGGCTTATGGCAGAAACCCTGTCAGGGGTTTATAACGACCTGCCAATGAACTTCTCTGGTGGTTCAGACAGTAAAACATCTCCCTACAATGCAGAGACTCTGGTTCAATCCCTGGGTCAGGAAGATCTCCTGGAGAAGGAAATGGCAACCCACTCCCATGTTCTTGCCTGGAAAATCCCATGGATGGTGGAAACTGGTAGGTTACAGTCCATGGGGTCACAAAGAGTTGGACATGACTGAGTGACTTCACTTTCTTTGCCAACGTCAAGAGGCACCCAAAGTCCCCTTTGGGGAGCGGCCAGAAATGGGCAAAATGTGTGGACCAAACTCTCCTTTCTCAGTCAAAGTTTCTGGTCTCTTTGACCATTTCATAACCTCCTGGGATTAGAACTACTAACCTAATCTGTCAAATCGTAGACTTTCAAGGGACTTGTGATCTATGCTGTTACTGTGTACTGCTTACTTAGGTCCCAAACTTGGATTGGTATTCAGGAAGCGCCTATCCTCGCTAGGAGTTGGAAGTTTAGAAGCT